GGGGGCGGAGGGAGGGGCGGAGCCAAGCGGCTGTGCGTGCGCTGAGCCCACCCACCGCTGTCCCTGCAGCCAACCTCCTGACCAGCAAGACGCCGCAGGACCGGAAGCTGACGTCCACGCCCCGTGAGGTCGCCAAGTCCCCACACAGCGTGGTGCCCGAGCTCCACCCGCACCCCATCTCCCCCTACGAGCACCTGCTGCGTGGTGTGAGCGGCGTGGACCTCTACCGCAGCCACATCCCGCTGGCCTTTGACCCCACCCCCATCTCCCGAGGGATCCCCCTTGACGCAGGTGAGTGTCAGGACCCCGAGAGTGCTGGCCCATGGTCTCCTGGAGGGAAACTGAGGCCCGGGGGGAGGAGGACCCAGCCGTGCAGGCGCGAAGAAGTTGGCTTAGAGCAGGATTCGAGGGACACTGCTGCTTAAACACTTCCTAGTGACTTTCGTTTCCTGCAGGCCCTATCAGTGCCTTTAGGGTTGCGAGCACATCAGCCGAGGGCTCACGTGTGTAGGCTGAGCTCACAGTCAGGACCTGTGTCTTTTCAGGGTGCCCTGCTCGGGTTCATTAGTGATTGGCACTTCGGTCCCCTGTGCAGGGGAGACTCAGCGTACAGACAGTGCGAGGAGCTGCTCCCGCATGTCTGTCGGGGCGCAGGCGTTTGTGGACCCCGAGGCTTTCGGGGGTAGTTTTTTTTTTTGGTACCGAGGATCGAACTTGTGTCCTTGGGCTTGTGCAGCAGGCGGCGAAACCACTGAGCTAAGTCCCCAGCTTGCGGGGGCAGTTCTTTAAGCCGCTTTTATTATAGCAAGGGACGCCTTGCCATTGAACCCGTGCACAGTCCTCCCTCGCTTTGGACACACTGATCCCGCCATTCTCGCCACTTTCTGCTCAGCTCCGGAGCCCCCTTTCCCGAGTGTCTGTACAAGATGTGATAAAAGAACAGCTCGGGCCCCTGCCACGTGCTCATGAACACACAATGCCGTGTGCTCATCCCCCTACTCACTGGGTCTGGCACCGTGAGGCTTCCGGCTCCTCCCGAAGTTCAGATGACGGAGGCAGCCATGACATGGCAGCTAACGAGGCTCAGGAAAGAGGGCTCCAAGCTGCTACAGAAGTGCCGAGGACCCAGGGCTGTGTGAAGGGTCAGTGGCCATGAGGCTCTCTCTGTGGGAAGCTTTTCTCACTGAAGTGTTGACTGTGTTTGGCTACAGCCCTGCAAGGGAGCAGCCCCAGGGGCGTAGCAGTGGGAGCCTTCAGACAGGGCGGGGCGGGGCAGCACTGCGCCGGGCAGGGCGGGCTGGGCGCCTAACCTCGCCCCGGTGCTCCACAGCCGCCGCCTACTACCTGCCCCGGCACCTGGCCCCCAACCCCACCTACCCGCACCTGTACCCACCATACCTCATCCGCGGCTACCCCGACACAGCGGCCCTGGAGAACCGCCAGACCATCATCAATGACTACATCACCTCGCAGCAAATGCACCACAACGCCGCCACCGCCATGGCCCAGCGTGCCGACATGCTCCGCGGCCTGTCACCCCGCGAGTCCTCCCTGGCGCTCAACTACGCCACCGGCCCACGAGGTGGGTGGGGCGGCAAGTCCTGGGTCTCTGAGCAGCACACCTGTCCTGGCTATCCACACACAGTGTGTGACGCCCGGCACCCGCAGCTGGGGCTGCTGCGCGCGGAGTGCTCGGGGGCCTAGACAGCTGTGGACAGCCTGGCACCAGCAGGGGCCGGGCACCGTGGGCCCCTGCAGGACTGCGCGGGCCGACTGTAGACTGAGGAGACCCAGCAGCTGCTCCGAGGGTGTGGTCCCTGGGCAGGTAGACGTGGGCGGGCGGAGCTTGGGAGAGGGGCCTGCCCTGGGCCTGGGTGCTCTCTGTCCAGTGGCCTGTCCAGGGGCAGCAGCCAGGCCTCCTCTGCCCGGCTCCAGCTTCCTGTCCTCCCCAGGCATCATTGACCTGTCCCAAGTGCCACACCTGCCTGTGCTGGTGCCCCCGACGCCCGGCACCCCTGCCCCGGCCATGGACCGCCTCGCCTACCTCCCCACCGCACCCCAGCCCTTTGGCAGCCGCCACAGCAGCTCCCCGCTGTCCCCAGGTAGACGGCCGTCCCCGGGGCCCGCCCTCGTGCCTGCCGCTGTGCAGCCCGCCCAGTGTCTGCTTTGGTCCCCTAGGAGGCCCCACACACTTGACAAAAGCCACGGCCGTGTCCTCGTCTGAGCGGGAGCGGGACAGAGACCGGGAGCGGGAGCGGGAGCGGGACAGGCCCCTCCTCACGTCCGCCAGCACCGTGGAGCATGCGCCCATCTGGAGGCCCGGTGGGTGTCGTCCCTGCCCGGCCGGGTTTGGCGGCCACACAAGCCCTGGTCCCCTGACCCGGCCGCCCGTCCCCAGGTACAGAGCAGGGCAGCGGCAGTGGCAGCAGCGGGACCGGGAGCAGCAGCAGCCGCCCTGCCAGCCACACCCACCAGCACTCGCCCATCTCTCCGCGGACCCAGGATGCCCTGCAGCAGAGGCCCAGCGTGCTGCACAACACGGGCATGAAGGGCATCATCACCTCTGTGGAGCCCAGCACGCCCACAGTCCTGAGGTGGGGCGGTTGGCACTGGGAGGTGGGCTCCAGACCTGCAGCTGGGAGGCGCGGGGTCTAGGGGGTGCTGGGGGGGTCGGGAAATGCGCAGGCGGGAGGGTGGGGAGACAGACTTGTGGGTCGATCGCGAGGTGCTGCATGGGTGACAGGTGGGGAGGCAGGCGGTGGGGCGTGGGGAGGCCTGGCTGCGTTAGCGGGATGCTCAGGTGGACGGAGGGACCCTGGGGTCAGACACGGGTGGGGGGAGGGTGGGGGTGGATGAGGCTCAGGTGGGCGGGTGACAGGCTAGGTGGCTGGATGGGTGGATAGGTGGGGTTAGAGAGGCAGGAGGATGGGTGGGTGGATGTGACAGAGAAGTAGGATGGCTGGCTGGCTGGCTGGATGCCCGGATGGGTGAATGGTTGGATCAGAGAAGCAGGAGGATGGGCGGATGGGCGGGTCAGGCTGCAGAGGCGGGAGGATGGCCGGGTGAGTGAGGGGTTGAGCAGATGAGGTGCAGGCTGGCTGACGAGTGGACGGTGAGGGGTGTGGTTGGAAGGTGGAGCTGCTGAGGGGCCATGGGAGCCGGGAGGGACCGCTGGCGACCGTGGGGCTCTCGTCTGCTGCATGTGTGGCTCACCTGCCCCTTGTGACCCCTGAGCTCCCTCCTGCCCACCCTGCCGGCTTCCTGGCCTCTCCTTACCCTGACGTGTGGCTGCGGAGTGGTCACCGCACTTGGGCGGGGTCCTCGACTCCTTGACTGCGTGTAGCCGGTGTCCTGGGCACAGGCACAGCGCTCCTGTCTGTGCTGTTCACTGCCGGATCCCCAGGATCTGGAAGTACCAGGCAGCCAGTGGGGTGGTGACTGAAAGGTGGATGAAAGAGGCGGGCGAGGCCGCAGTGGCGTGAAGGGTGGGTGTGTGGGTGGGCTGTGCGGGTCCGAGTCAAGGGGCAGACGTATCCGGGCGCAGTGGGGCATCCGGACGTCCCTTGGTCCTGGGCAGTGGGGACTCGTGTCCGGGGTCGTCGGCGGCCGCCTGACCCCGTTCTCTTCCCCCAGGTCCACCTCCACCTCCTCTCCTGTCCGCCTGGCTGCCTCATTCCCACCCACCGCCCACTGCCCGCTGGGTAGCACTCTGGATGGGGCCTACCCCACCCTCGTGGAGCCCGTCCTGCTGCCCAAGGAGGCCCCGCGGGCCGCCCGGACAGAGCGGCCGCGAGCAGACACCGGCCATGCCTTCCTCGCCAAGCCCCCTGCCCGGGAGGCCGCCTCCTCCCCCAGCAAGAGCTGCGAGCCCCGGCCCCTCGTGCCCCCCAGCTCCAGTCTCGCGGCCATCACCCACACCCCAGCCAAGAGCCTCGCACCCCACGCCAGCCCGGACCCGCCGGCGCCCACCTCGGCCTCCGACCCGCACCGGGGAAAGACTCAAAGTAAACCCTTTTCCATCCAGGGACTGGAGCTCCGTTCTCTGGGTAAGACCACCCTGACAGCGGCCACCTTCATAGACGCGATAATCATGCGTCAAATTGCCCACGATAAGGGGCCGCGAGAAGGAGGTTCGCGGGCCAGCGGCTCCCCTCGCCATGGTAAGAGTCCCGGCCCGCTGCCCGCCCCTCGTGGCCGCCAGACATCTCCAGACCTTTGCTTTTATTTCCCCCCATTTTTCGTTGGTTTCGGTGTTTCGGTTTCGAACCCATCCCTGTCGATCTGCACGCTCTGATGATTCTCCGGCCGCTGCCCCTCCTGGTCCGGGGCTCCTCCTTATTTGCACATCATTTGAACGTGATTTTTTTTTTTCTTTTCTTTTTTCTATTTTTTTTTGGAGTTTTGCTTTTTTCCTTTAATGAATGGATCTGTGATTTGGACTCCAACTGCACCTCCCACCTGCCCCTTTGCACCGTCGTTTGGGGAGCAGGGAGTGGGGCTGCAGGGGGCCTGCAGAGGTTGATAGTTTTTGCCTGCTGCTGTGTGTGAATCTGAGGGAAACTGAGGCAGGGAGCCGGTGGGGAGGGGAGGAGCACCCACATTGTCCCGGAGGGGCTGGGGGCCCTGACTCCGCACCCGCCCTGACCTCAGGGAGCCTGTAGTTCCCTGTTCCCAGCCCCTGCACCCTGGGGAGAAGGGAGGCCCTTGGGACACAGCCCCGCCCCCCTGCCAGGCTGGGGTCCAGGCGGGGCCCCCCGCAGCTATTGCCCTCCTCATGTCCTGCTCTGTCCCACGCAGCGTCTGTCTGCCTCTGTCTCTGCAGACCCTCCCTTTGCCCTTTCTGTCCTGCCCAGGCCCTCTGGTGCACTAGGGTTCACACCCGGGCCCAGCTGTCCCCTCCATACCAGGGCCCCAGCCAGCCTGCCCCTTGGGTGCTGCCCCACCTCTGATCCTGGTCCTACCCCTTGCAGGTTACCATGGCTACAGCCCAGAAGGGGTGGAACCCATCAGCCCAGTGAGCTCCCCGAGCCTGACCCACGATAAGGGGCTCCCCAAGCATCTGGAGGAGATAGACAGGGGCCATCCGGAGGGGGAGCTGCGGCACAAACAGCCAGGTACCCTTCCCCATGAAACAGGGACGCCCATGACCCTGTCCCGAAGATGGGGAAACTGAGGCACCCCCTGATCGGCCCTGCTCTCCATGCAGCCCCCGGGAAGCTTGGAGGGGAGGCCGCCCACCTCCCGCACCTTCGGCCATTGCCCGAGAGCCAGCCCGCATCCAGCCCGCTGCTGCAGACTGCCCCCGGGGTGAAAGGTCACCAGCGGGTGGTCACCCTGGCACAGCACATCAGTGTAACTATGCGCCCCCTGCCCGGGAGGGCGGTGCACACGGTTCCCTTCCTGGGGCCTGGCGGGGTGGGTGAGGTCCCAGAGGCGGACACCGTGACCCCGACCCCAATCTTCTGCCCTGTGGGTGCAGGGCGTCAGGTCCAACTCGCTGGGGCCATTGGGGAGACCTCGGACCCGACCTTCCTGGTGCCTGCAGGCCTTGGGGCCCAGAGGCCGTGGGCAGGTCCCAGCCAGCCAGGGACCTGCTCTGTCTCCAGGGCGGCCGCTGACACTGCTCTGCCCGCAGGAGGTCATCACGCAGGACTACACACGGCACCACCCACAGCAGCTCGGCACCCCGCTGCCCGCCCCACTCTACTCCTTCCCTGGAGCCAGCTGCCCAGTGCTGGACCTCCGCCGCCCGCCCAGCGACCTCTACCTCCCACCCCCCGAGCACAGCACCCCAGCCCAAGGCTCCCCGCACAGTGAGGGGGGCAAGAGGTGAGCCCAGAGGGGCAGCTGGGCAGAGGCAGGCCCTCCTGGTGCACTGCGTGGGTGGAGAACTGAGGCTGGGCTGGTCCCTGGCACAGGGGACCTGCAGCAGCCAACGAGGGCTTGGTCAGACCTGCAGCATCGCCTCGTGCCACGGATCCTCAGCAGGAACTCGCTTGCCTGCGTGTCCTGGCCTCCAGTGTGCGTACATCTGTATGCCCGTGCATCCAGGTGCACACTCACAGGCCACAGAGCGCTGCGGTGATGGGAGGCATTGCCCGGGGTGGCACAACACTGGGCATGGAGTCCCAGGGCCTTTGCGCTGAGCTGCACTTTCTATGTTGAGTCAGGTTGTTAAGTCACCACGTTGCCCAGGCTGGTTTGAACTTCTGATCTTCCCACCTCAGCCTCCGAGTGCTGGGATGACAGGCTCGTGCCACCACACCTGGCTTTAGTTTTGCATCTTTAAAGGCTGGTGGGGAAGGGCGGGTGGCCAAGGCCACCATGGCCTGCAGCACCCAGTGCCCTCTGAGGGAAGCCTGCCAGGCCCTGGTGGACAGCGGAGCTGGCCAGGCCGGGGCGGGGCGGCTCCTGCAGGTCGGCTCTGACCGCAGCCTGGACCCTCGTTCTGCCCAGGTCTCCAGAGCCAAGCAAGACATCAGTCCTGGGAGGCGGCGAGGATGGCATCGAACCCGTTTCTCCTCCTGAGAGCATGACAGAGCCCGGGCACCCCCGGAGTGCCATGTACCCGCTGCTGTACCGGGACGGGGAGCAGGTGGAGGCCAGGTGCTCATGGTGCAGAGCCTGGCCCCGGGTGGGCTCCGGGCGGGCGACACAGCCCCGGGAGCCAGGGGCCCGGTCCCCAGCTGTCCAGTCAGCGCCCTGTCCCCTGGCAGGATGGGCTCCAAGTCCCCAGGCAGCACCAGCCAGCCGCCCGCCTTCTTCAGCAAGCTGACGGAGAGCAACTCTGCCATGGTCAAGTCGAAGAAGCAGGAGATCAACAAGAAGCTCAACACCCACAGCCGGACGGAGCCGGAATACAGTAAGGGGACATCTGACTCTGGCATGGGCGTGGCCACTGCAGAGCCGAGGCTGGCCTCAGAGTCAAGGCGATCCTCCTGCCTCAGCCTCCCGAGTGCTGGAGTTCCAGGCCATGCTGCCTGGCTCAATGCTTTTGAGTCCTTCCACGGCACGGAATTGCCACGCACAGCAGGTGCCCAGAGAACCCTGGCCACAGTGGCCTGGGGCTCAGGGCTGGGGCGAGGCCTCTCCAATGCTTTTCCGACCTTGCTGTGGCTGCTGGGTGTGGACTCCAGTCCCTGGTGCAGTGTCTGGCACGTGGCCCCTGCAGATGGTGGCATGGGTGGGTGGCCGGGCCCAGAGTGGGGACAGATGCCACGGCTCCACCCTGTCTGGCCCAGGACCAGCAGCGTCAGTGCCCCAGGCAGCGGGTTAGTGAGGAACACAGGCCGAGCCCTGGCCCAGCCTGCGACCCTCGGCATGGGGCAGATCCACGTTGCACAGGGACCCCACACGGGACGGGTGGTAGCAGCTGAGCTCGGGGATTGGGGCCGTGGGTCTCACCCATCTTGTCCCTGCTTCAGATATTGGCCAGCCCGGGACGGAGATCTTCAACATGCCGGCCATCACCGGAGCAGGTAACTGTCTGCGCCCGCAGGCCCCAGTGTGTCCTCGACCAAAGACAGTCCCTCCTCCTGGTCTCAGGCAACCCGCAGGAGGAGCCAGGCACGCAGCAGGCAGGCCGGCCAGCTGTCGTCGGTGTAGACAGCGCCCGCTGCTTGAGGGGGTCGAGGTCACCTGTGCTTAGTGAGCGGGGACCAGAGCCGACCTGCTCCAGTCACAGGCGGAGGCAGCACGCCTGGCCGGGGGTTTGTGGGCAGCACCTCCGTTTCCCTTGAGAAGCCAGCCGGGGAGCTAGGGGACCTTATTTTTTGCCATGTCAGATGCAGGCACACGTGGGAGGGGGTGTAAAATCCACATGTGGTCAGAAGCCAGAATCTAAGACGTCTATGGCCCTGGATCTACTCCCAGCATCCTCGGGACGTTCCGCTGCCCCAGGGAGGAATTTGGGGTTTGCAGCCCGGAGCCGTGGCGCAGGACACCCTGGGCGGCTGCGGAGCTGGGGTGCCTTGGGGTCTGTCCCAGAGCTCTTGAGGACAGTGCCCCTGCCGGGAGCTGAGGCCAGCAGGGTGGGCATCAGCGGCCTCCCAGGTGGAATCCAGGGACCTTGTGCCCCGGAAGCGAGGCGAGCGGGAGGTGGCCTTCTGGCTGTTACCCAAGGTCATGGGGGCAGTGGGGGTCCCACAGGGGTGCGTCATCCGCCCAGACTGGACACGCACAGGCCCTTCGAGGGCTCACACGGAGACCGTGTGGTGGAAACAGGATGGTAAGATAGGGTTTGTGGGTCTCCCAGCCCTTGGCATGGCCATCAGACACCCTGGTGTACAGGCGTGCTGGAGTTCACACTGCTCAAGATTGGTGAAGATGGGTACGGAAATGTGGATGTTAGCGATATGTGATTTTTGTTCTTGTTTTACTTTGTTTTTTGTGGAATTAGGGCTTGAACCCAGGGCCTTCACACTGAGCCGCATCCCTGGCCCTTGTTTCACATTCTATTTTGAGACAGGGTCTCACGAAGTTCCCTAGCTGGGCTCGGACCTAGAGTCCGCCTGCCTCAGCCTCTCGGAAGGCTGGGTGACAGGCATCACCGCCACGCCCAGATTTTCTCCCTTAATGCAGGTTAATCCCCAAAAACAGTTCGCAGGCCCCTTCTCTGGCACTCAGACTTGGCCTTCAGTGGAGAAACACCCATCCAAGCGGGCTCTGTCCGGTCCGGGCCGCGACCTCTGGGAGAAGCCCCGCAGCACCGCTGCACTGCAGCTGTCAGGCCTGGGTCTGCCCTGTGGCACTGCTGCTCTCCCGGGTCTGCTGAATGTGTGGGATTTTAACTTCTTTTCTATCTCTGTTGCAAATCCTGGTTTTCCTTGATGGGCGTGGCGTTTTAATGCTGGTGGGAGGTGGTGTGGGCAGCACCCAGCAGTGCAGCTGTATGGCCAGTGGCCTCCCAGAAGTGGGGCTCTGAGGGGAGTGGCTGGTTCGCAAACACGGAGCCCCATGTGCGGCCCTTCATGTCCCCGCTGTCTGGGCGAGGATCCTGGGTAGGCGGGTCGGACTAGGGCTCTGGGAGAGGTTTTGAGAGTCACATCTGGGTACCCAGAGAGCCGAGAAGAGGTCCTGCCTGCCAGGGTCTGCAGAGTCCTCCTGCGTGGTTCAAAGAGAAAGGAAACCTGGGAACCAAAAGGGGCTTAGCGGGGTTGCGCAGCGGGGTCTGGAAGCATTGCTCGGGACCAGGTGGTGGCATCCACTACTTTGTCCTTGTCCCAGGGCCAGGCCAGCTGGGGCTGGGCGGAGTGGTCGTCAGCTGTCTCTAGCTCTACCCTGTTCCCCGCATGCACTAACTGCATGGCTGCCAGCCCCGCCCCCGACCGTCTCTGCACCTTTCTCCTCTGGCTCCTGGATGGGGGCAGAGAGGCAGGCCCAGTTTGGGGGGCCAGCAAGGACATTGGGTTCCCAGCCTTGCAGGCGATCGGGTCACCGTCCCTCCCTGGGTCCTTCCCCAGCCCCTGGAGGAGCCGGACTGAATCTTCACCCCCAGCCCTGTCCTGCCACTGTCAGTGCCCAGCTCAGGCTCAATGCCAGACCCCAAGCCCCCCCCCCCCCGCCCCTGGCCAGGCCAGCTCTCTCCTCCTGGCCCCGCTTTGAAGCCACTGGAGTTAAAAAGCAGCAGCAGCAGCAGCAGCTGCAGGGGTCAGGATTGGAGTTGAGCAGAGGCTTCTGACTTCCCAGGGCAGAGTAGAAATGAGGCTGGGGACCTCTCCCCTCCCCAGCTCCACTGCCTGGGAACACCCAGGGATTCCGGGGTCCCCTTAGGTCCCTTCCCATTGCCAGCACCACCCTGCAGGACAAGGGGGAGGGAAATGAAGAGACGTGTTGCTTTGCAAAATGTGCTCACTGTGTATTCTCTCTCCTCCCCCCTCCGCGCCCCTCTGGCTCCCGCCCGGCCCCCTGTGTGTGTGTGTGTGTGTGTGTGCGTGCGTGTGCGTGTGTGTGTGTGTGCGCGCGTGTGTGTGTGTGTGTGTGTCTGTCGTTCGTCTATCTGTCTCTCTCCATCCCAGGCCTAATGACCTGTAGAAGCCAGGCAGTGCCGGAGCATGCCAGCACCAACATGGGGCTGGAGGCCATAATTAGAAAGGCGCTCATGGGTAAATATGATCAGTGGGAAGAGCCCCCGCCACTCGGCGCCAATGCTTTTAACCCTCTGAATGCCAGTGCCAGCCTCCCCGCGGCCGCTATGCCCATAACCGCTGCTGACGGACGGAGTGACCCTGCGCTCACCTCGCCAGGTCTGCGGCCTCCCCGCCTGCCCGCCCCGTCTGTCCCGCCCGCCCGCTCGCCCACCCGGTGTTATTACTCCTCGCTCCTGCGTCCTCTGACCCCAGAGCTTGCAGCTTGTGTGACTCGTGCGTTGGACATTGTTCTGTAGTTTGCTAACCCTGAGCTGGGCGACACCCGGTGCCTCCCTGCCGCTGCTTCCGCAGACGCTGACACCGCTGCCCATGCCCTGCCCCACCCCTGGGGCTCCGGCTGGCTCCTGGGGCCCTGGTGGGAGAGGGCCTACCCGGGCTGCGAAGATGGGGGACAGCTGGCCAGGGCCCAGTCCCTGGCGTCCCCTGCCACCTCGGAGCAGGCGCTGAGCGAGGACTTGAGGCTCAGCTGGCCACTCTGACCCTGAGGCTCTTAGTGGGGTCCAGCTTGGCCTTGGGGTCCTGGTCCTGCACAGGGGCCACAGCCCGTTGGCCCTGGTGCCATCCTGGGCAACACGCAGGGTCCAGCAGAGGCCTGAGGCATGAGGCTCAGGGTTGCAACCCCAGGGCCTCGGGAGCCACAGGGCAGCCTAAGGGCGTTGTGACCCCTTCCCCCGGTGCCGGGCTGGGTCCGGCCATGTGGTCAGCCTCGGTGTGGCCCAGGTGGCTTCCCCATGGCAGGACTCAGCCCACCCAACTCCATTTCCCCATGGTACGGGTGCTGTTGTCATTGTCCAATGCAGCCCTGTTCCCTCTGTCCTTCCTGCAGGCAGCGGTGGGAAGGGCAAGGTCTCTGGCAGACCCAGCAGCCGAAAAGCCAAGTCCCCAGCCCCAGGTCTGGTGTCCGGAGACCGGCCACCCTCTGTCTCCTCGGTGCACTCCGAGGGGGACTGCAACCGCCGGACACCACTCACCAACCGCGTGTGGGAGGACCGGCCCTCGTCCACAGGTGCGCACCGCTGTGCAGGTGCGGTCGGGAGGGCTGCAGGCAGCGCCCAGATAGGCTGCCTTGGAGGGCAGAGGTGTGGCTGGGGCTGCCCAGGCCCAGGGAGGGGAGGGAGACGGAGGGCCACTTGGGCACCAGGATGTAGGGCAGGCAGCGGCCAGGGCCATGGGTTTCTTTTCGTGAGTCAGGATATCCTATGCATAGCACCCTGGAGGAGTCGGGCAGGGAAGTGAAAAGTGTCACAGGCCTGAAGGTCCCTGGGTGGACAGCGGCTGGTGTAGCCGGCAGGTGGCCCCCTGAGCCATGCCCCTGTCGTCCCACAGGCTCCACGCCATTCCCCTACAACCCCCTGATCATGCGGCTGCAGGCAGGTGTCATGGCCTCGCCGCCCCCACCTGGCATCCCCGCGGGCAGCGGGGTCCTCGCTGGTGCCCACCACGCCTGGGAGGAGGAGCCCAAGCCACTACTCTGCTCGCAGTACGAGACGCTCTCCGACAGTGAGTGACTGCGCATGGCGGTGCCAGGTCCCGGTAGAAGCGGCCCAGAGAGGAAGGAGCCCTGAGTCCGCCTGCCGTGCGCGTGCGTCTGTCCGTCCATCCAGAGCGGAGCTGGCGTCCTTGCCTGTCTAAAGCCTTAACTACGACTCCCACCCGGGCTGGCCCTGTGCAGTGACCTTTCTCAGGGGATGTTCACCTGGTGCTCGGGAGGGGAGGGTGGCGGGCTGGGGAGGCGCGTGGCGAGCATGTGGCAGCCACACGCGCAAGGCCGGGGCAGCGGGGACCCAAGACAGGACGACTACGCACCTCCACCCCACTGCCTCCCCCAGCGCATCTGGAACCAAAGTCTAATCCGAGCTAGTGGCCCCCGCACCCTCCCTCTGCCTCCCACCCCGCTTACTGCTCTGGACAGACGAACACGGGCCTCATCCAGCCTCTAGGCTCTTGTCCCGGTCCCCACGGGCCGCCCCAGCTGGTGAAACTGCTGGAAGCCGGGTCGGCCGGGCAGACGCCACGGACCTGGACCGTTTCTTCGCTCGCACGCAGTGGCCGCAGCGGTGGGAAGAGGAGGCAGGTGTAAATGGTGTATTGGTTTACAGGGTATATTTTTGATACCTTCAATGAGTTAATTCAGATGTTTTACGCAAGGAAGGACTCACCCAGTATTATTGCTGCTCTGCTTCCCATCTGCTTACTGCTCAGGGGCCGTGTGCGGCCATTGGGCGGTGACCCCACCATCCACAGGACCGAGGGGCTGGGGCCCCCTGCTCACAAGTCCCCCGCCTCCCCCCTTCCTTGGGCAGAATGAATTTGATGCGTATTCTGTGGCCGCCACCTGCGCACGGCGGTGGCATCCTGTCATTTACACATGTTGTTGTAATTAAAGCGAATTATACTCAAGTCACCAACGTTCTCTGCTTCGGATTGGCAACCAGGAGGAGGGCAGGTAGGAACTGAGGGCTGGGGAGTGTGACCCCGAGGGCCACTCCAACCTTCGGGAAGGGTGGTCATAGGGCATGGAGAACTCACATCATGGTCACACCAGGATAAAGATGGCCCTCACAGCCGCGGTGAGTGTGCTGTGTTCACACTCATGACAGTGTCAGATACACCCACAGTGAGGGTTTCCAGTTGTGACATCGTGGTGGGTATGTGAGGTATTCACACCTGCTACCTGAAGATGTCTTAGCAGCCAGGCATGCCTGCAGTGTGGGATTCACCCATGCTGGAGGGTGTTCACTTGTCACACCCCTGATGTATGAGGTATTCACACCTATTGTGAGGGTGTCCAGTAGTTGCCATGGGAAGTGTGGTATAACACCTGTGGTGAAGGTGCCTGGCACTCACACCCATGAGGAGCATGTCAGCTGTTCACAATGTGGTGAGGATGTCCACTGTCACACTTTGTGGGGAGTGTGAGATATTCGCACCATGGGGAGTGTTCACCAGTTACAGTCATGGTATATGAGATATTCACACCTGTTGTGGGAGTCAGCAGTCACACCCATGGGGAATGTGAGGTATTCACACCATGATGGTGACTGACGCCCACGGGGAGCATGAGGTGTTCACACCACGATGAGGGTGTCTCTCAGCCCATGGGGAGCGTGAGGTGTTCACACCATGATGAGGATTCTGTCACGCCTGTGGGGAGTGTGAGGTATTCACACCACAATGAGGGTGTCACACCTGTG